TCTCTATCTCTCTCTATCTCTCTCTCTCTATCTCTATATCTCTCTCTCTCTATGATTATGTTAGAAACATAGACACATAAATATAGATATGTACATATAAATTTCCAAATCCATCATTTCAATCTGTAAATATATAAATACAAAAAAAAAATGCAAGTAAGCGTAATAGTAGATTTTTATTTGTTCACTTGATAGTATTTTTTTGTTTTAGATATTTTGATATTTTTATTTATTGAGTTTTATATTTATATTATAATAGATCATATCAGAAAGAAAGATGTATATATATATATATATATATATATATATATATATATATATATATATAAAATAAGAATTAGGGTAAATTTCACTTTCCCCCTTGTACTTTGGATGGATATCACTTTACCCCCTTGTACTCTCAATTGCATCGATTTATCCCCTTGTACTTTGGTTCGATATCACTTTACCCCCTTTTACTCTCAATTCATCGATTTGCCCCCTTGTACTTTGGCTCGATATCACTTTATCCCCTTCTACTCTCAATTGCATTGACTTATGTACTTGAAAAATTGCAATTGAGAGTACAAGGGGTAAAGTGATATCCAGCCAAAGTACAAGGGATAAAGAATAATTTACCCTAAGAATTACATGCAGTGATTTAATATCGTACACTTACGACGTGGTGCATTAATGCCATGCAATTATTAGTCTGCAATCTGCATATGTACAAAATATTGAAGCATTACTTTCGCATTCACTATAGAGAGACAGAGAGTACACAGTCACACAAGAGGGATCTCGAGAGACAAACATTCGTACTTTATTTTTTGATAACAAGTAACATTATTCGTACTTTGGATTCTCAAGATTCAAGTGTTATTATCAACACAATTATTTGTTTGTAATAAAACTTTAGTATTATTTTTCTTAACTTATTACATTTAAAAATCTTAACAAACTTATATTTTAATTTTAACTATTATTAATTTTTTTTCTTATATATTTATCATGTTTAAAATGTATACAAAGGCTTTCGAGTCCGCTTATTAACTTTCGAACAACGAAATATTAATGAGTTCATGCCTGGCTCGTCAGAAAACTCATAAAAATGATAAATTAGAGACTTTTTGTTCTTGCTTAATGTTAATTATGTTTTTTTTTTTTTTTGAACAAGAACAAACGATTATTATTATATTTATAAGAACTTAAGACTAGGGGTGGTAAACGAGCCGAGCCGACTCGTGAGCTCGACGAGTCGGCTCGTAAAAAGCTCGAACTCGGACTCGAGGTTTTCGAGCTCGAGCTCGAGCTCGCGAGCTCGAGCTTTCTGACGAGCCGAGCTCGAGCCGGATTTTAGTTGTTCATCAGCTCGCGAGCCGGCTCGCGAGCCGGATTTATTATTTTTTTTTTATTTTTTTTTATTTTTTTTATTTTTTATATGTTATTTTTATTTAAACAATGTATAATAATATAAAATATTATAGAAATAAATACAAATATTAAAAAAATATATAATCACAATTTAGTTTTTATTTTTTATTTTTTTCAAATAAATTTTAATAATTAAAAAATATTTAAAAAATATTTTAAAAAAAAAAAAAAAAAAGAAATTGGCTCGAGCTCGAGCTCGAGCTCGAGCTCGACAAAATTAACACGAGCTCGAGCTCGAGCCAGAAAAAGAAGAACTCGACGAGCTCGAGCTCGAGCTCGAGCTCGACAAAATAGACTCGAGCTCGAGCTCGAGCCAGCCAAAAGAGGCGAGCTCGGCTCGAGCTCGGCTCGTTCACACCCCTACTTAAGACCATAGTACGATTACAAGGATTGGATGTACTACGAGTGTACACCGAGAAAATATCCTGATACATATAATATTCTAGGAAACTGGGGCAATTATCGTACAACAAAATTTCATCCGTATCCAAGGATGTCCCCATTTTAGCTAATACATCCGCTACGTAGTTTAGTTCCCGATAGCAAAAGAATTATGTTTCTATACTAATGACTTATAATTAAGTTTCCAAAAAAAAATGGGTAAATTACGGCGAGCCCATTGAGGTAATGTCAAATTATGAAGAAAAAAAATCTCTCATGTTTTGGTAATTACAACCACTCCTCAACTATAAATTTTCTTACACCCATATACTCTTGCAGTGTGAAATTCTACATAATCTTCTAGATTTCGTGAAATATTCTCTACCTAGTTTGTACTCGTTTTGTGTTAAAATACAGTTTATGATGCACCACAATTTGATATTTACAAGTCAAGAGACACATCTTGTTTCAAAATGTGGAGATCGAGTGAACTGAAACGGGTACAAAATCGAGAATATTCTGCATAATATAGAAAATTCCATTAAATTTGACACAGCAAAGATGGACATGCAAGAAGATTCATTGTTGAGGGAGGTTGGTGTAATTACTCAAACATAAAGGTTTTTTTTTTTGTAATTTTATCTTACCTCAGAGTGTGACCGTAATTTACCTAAAAATAAGAGAATCCTTTTTTTTTATATATATATCTGATATATGTAAAAATCCGTTGGATAATATTGATTATTGGACAATGATTTACTAAGGCCTAAGCTAGTACAGCCCGACCCGGTATAGTGAGCCCATGTCAAGAATATTGGACTTGGGCCAATCCATATTCGGGCCGAAAGAGCAACAACGTTTTGGACAATTACTGAATTTGGCTCGTAGTGCCTTCTTATCTCAAACCACAAGACTACTTTGAGGTGAATTTGCTAAGAAGTCCCTTGGAAGTGATTTTATTATCAATAAGAACAGCTAAGTTTTTGGTTTTGAAAAAACTCTGCTAATTTACTAAACACCTTTGGGCACTAATTATACGCTAATACTCTTTCAGATCGGACAATTGTATTTTCACATTTTGCTAAAAGTCCTTCACAACTTAGTTAGACAGTTTAGAGTGAAAAAACATTATTCTCCTTCAACTCATCCCTCCTAAAAACCACATTGACTCATCCCTCTTACTAGTCCCCTCCCGTTGACCTCCTAGTTTTCGCCAACTACATTATTGGAAAAAAAATGTTATTTTTATCGATTTTCGGTCTAAAATATCTATTCTCAATGTAAATTTCTCCTATTAAGTTGTTCACTCTCAGGCTAGACTGCCTATTTTTAGTCTAAATTTTGCAACTAAATGGTCTATTTTTAGTCTAAGCTGCTAGAAAATGTTAGTAAATTCAAAATATACTTGCGAACTGTTAACTATATAATATGTTTTTGAGAGAATTTTAGCCAACTTCCCCATAATAATTATATTTGGTGGTGTAATTTGTGATCTAACTATAGTTGGCTTCTTTTTAACCGGCAAGTGGCTCACTCGGCCTTGAATTAGGAGAACATGTCTTGGATTGAGCTATTGCTATATCTACCACAAATCTATGTTTTTCTAATGCATCTCTCTTTTAATTTCTTTTTAATTAACATATGATTAAATATTAACACAAATTGGATAAGAATCATGATATATTATTGTTTCAACTATTGTTCTAATAAAAAAATTGAAAAATAATATTTGTTGTGTACCTTAAAATGACCCATGATCAACAAGTATGCATTAGTTTAATGGTGAAAATGGCTTAGAGGCAATTGAGGGTCATCATTACTATATACGGACAATATTATTTAAATTTCATTTTTCATATTATAAAGTACAATTTGCTATCCTTAAAGCCCCTCTTGGATTATTCTTAAGTACATGGAACCGAATTTAATTACCTTTACTAATTAATAAACTAATTTTTAATTTTAATTAGTGTGGAGTTTGGGAGTGAACAAAGTTTTCTTGACTTTTGGGTGGTGGAAAAGACCTCTTCACTTTCTACACCACTTTTGGGAGCATGGTGCCACTCATTTTATAACATCTACTTGAGGATATTTCAATTAGGTTTATAAATTATTAAATTAATCATAGTAAATGGCTAATGCCCAAAGATTATGAAATAGAGTAGAATATGGATAAATGAGTAAACCTCACTAAATTAATAGAATTTTACTAGTTTCAATTGTATTAATTTATAAAAATTTAACTGTAATATGAATTTAAGATGTAGTTAAAAGTTACTACTCAAAGGGGAAAAAAGGTTGATTTAGTTAATGTAAAAAACAACTCGTTTCGTCGAAAAAACTCGTTAGATGAAGTGTTGTAGATGCCCGACGATTATCCTTATACACACAATTCGACGTGGCTAGTGTAAACACACACGAAACTCGTAAAATTTGTAGAATAAATAAACAAAGTATCTTAAAATTTTCCTTTAGGTTGCTAATTGAAAATTATGCTTAATTGTTTCTCATCTATTGTTACCTTTAATTCTAATAAAATGCATGTTCTTATTCTCTCTCTCTCTCTTTGGATTTTGGTTGGATTGATATTTTTCCAATTATTTATTTATTTATTATGATTATTATTATTATTATTATTTATTTGTTTTAATACTTATTTTTTTGTAGCAGTGCTGAAACATGATACCTCTGAGCAAGTAGACAGGCTTTGGTTTTCCTTTTTGAAAGCACTGCAAATGCAAAGCCAATGCTGTGCCCCACTCCACCATCGTCTCTTCTTCCTCACCTTAATTTTTAGTCCTTTCTCTCTCTACATATATATATATATATATACAAATATATATTTATGTTGTATGTATGTATATGCCACTACATACAAAAGCCAAAGTAGTATGTGTAGTTGTAATTAATGCAAAGAAAGGCACAGTCTTCTCCACATCTACGTACAGCCACCACCCAACCTATTTCTCTCTCTCTCTCTCTCTCTCTCTCTCTCTCTCTCTCTCTCTTCTCTCTTTCTCTCTCTATCTCTCACACTCAAAACCCTAGCTTAACTACCTCTGCAAAATTCAGATTAATTAGCTAAAAAGGATCAACAATGGTTTCGGAGGAATCGTCCCGACGAAAATAGGCCAGACGACGACTCACAAAATGGACGAACTGAATCCGGATGAAGAAGAAGGAGCGAACAAACGCCGGGCCCCAAACGACGCCGTCGATCTGTACGGCGGCGTTGGTAGGTTCCACGGCTGGCCGTCGTCGCGAATCGTTAGGGTTTCGAGAGCTTCCGGCGGAAAGGATCGGCACAGCAAAGTTCTCACATCGAAGGGGCTGAGAGACCGGCGGGTACGCCTCTCGGTGAACACCGCCATCCAATTTTACGATTTACAGGATCGATTAGGGTTGGACCAGCCGAGCAAGGCGGTGGAGTGGCTGCTGAAGGCGGCGGCCGCCTCTATCACCGATCTGCCGCCGATGAGTAATCCATTTCCTGAAAGCCCTAAGCAGCAGCTGAGCGATGAGAAGATAAAATTATCCAGCGCCGCCGGCAGTGATCTGCTCGCATTCGACTCCGGCGAAGTGGATATGGATGGTGGTGAAATCAGCTACCTCCGGCAGCAGATGCCGACGAAATCCTCCGCCTGTAGTAACAATTCTGAAACTAGCAAGGGTTCTGGACTTTCTCTCTCTAGATCTGAAAACTGGATAAAAGCAGATAATAAGAAGGAAAAAGAGGGAGAATCATCTCACGTTGCCTCTTTCACCGAACTTTTGAGTGGAGGAATCAACAGTTTCAACAACGCCCACAACGGCGGCTCGTTTCGTCAAAACCCTAATAGAAGAGGCGGCGGTGGTGGTGGTGATGCAATTCAGTCATCGGATTACTTCAAAACCGGACTTTTAGGGCAACTGCAGTTTGCAAATTCGCCCAAATCAGTAGCGGCGGGGAGCAACCACCACCACCACCACCACAACCACAACGCGGAGTTCCAGAACTTCGCCTTCCCTGCCGCCGGAGGGAACGGTGGCAGTAGCGAATACAATCTGAACTTCACAATCTCTTCAGCTAATAATTCGCCAGGCTTCACCGCCTTCAATAGGGGGACCCTTCAGTCCAATTCTCCGCCGCCGTCTCTGTTGTCTCATGACATCCAGAGGTTTAATAATCCTCCAGCAGACGACGGATCTACTCCAAACTTCTTCATCAGCGGCGGCGGCGCCGCCGCGCCGGTGCAGAACCACAACCATTTCCTCTCCGGATTCGACGCCGGCTTGCATCTCTACTACGGCGACGCTCATTCTAACAAGGGGAAACTAGAAAAGAAGTGAGTGTCAAAAACATTTCTCCTTTAATTCCTGGTAATTTCAGTTTTCTGGTGTGTGTTGTGTGTATTTATTTTGAATTTTTGATTTCGTTTTTTATTAGAATAATTATTATTATTATATTATTATATCCATTTTATTGAAACCTGGGAATGGGAATCGGCTGGTTGTCTCCATCTACGGCGGCGGAGACAGGTGTTGGTGTGTGAGTGATGAGGTGCGCATTTTAGTATATGGTGGCGCAAAATTTTTAAGGTTTTATTGTTTGGGAAGAGAAGGGGAACCTTGTCTTTATTTCTTATTTAATTCAAAAAATGAAAAAATAAAAAAAAAAATTAAAAAATCCTGTCGCCTTTTATTGTGTCTGGTCTGTTTGAAGAACCCCCATTGATGAGTGACAGAGAGAAGCCCTAGCCGGAGATCAACACTTGTCCTTCCCTTGTAGCGGCGCTCTTAATTCTAAACCAACAACCCTAACAATGCATAATTATTTATTAATTACTGACAAATATATTTTAATTTATAATATATGATAATTTAATTTATATGTGAAGAATGTATGTCAGCATATTTTGATTCTTACGTCAGCATACTGTCATCTCAGGAAAAGATTGGGCCACTTTTGAGACCAAAAGGATTTTAAAATAAGCCCATTTTGTGGTTCTTACGTCAGCATACTTCATGGCCCATTTTTAATCCATGAACACATTTTAGCCCATGTTTTTGAACTTTAAAATTGTGTAGATGATAAATAGGTCAAATGACTTCTATTTGTAATTGAGATTTTCTTTTTTTTTTCGAAACCGGGATGAAAACTTTATTTGAATTTGAAATTTTGGAGTTTCGTAAATTGTAGTAAACAAACTCGTTCCAAAAGTGGGTTATGTTTTGTATTGGAATAGACGAATTCAAATCTAAAATTTTGTTTTTGTATCCATATTCGCTGTAAAATACACAATTATATCCATGATATTAATGTAATATTCGGAGAAAATTTTAATTTTTTTGGAATTATTTTCAAAAATTAAGATTGAAATATTATATCCTATATTTCAACTCCAATCCAAGATAAAATGGATATTGGAATGAAGAGTACATTATTTAATAATCAAAAAATTTGAGATCGGTAGGCACATCATAATTCAAACGTAACTTTTGCCTTTAGGGCATGACCAAATTTCCAAAGCAAATTATGCCACTGGCAATTAGATATGTACAAAGTGAGTGGGAAACCATATTAATCAACATAAAGCAAATTGCAACTAGTCAAAAAGCCACACTTTCAGTAGTGTTGCTCCCTCCCATACGTATGTATCATCGCACGTTAAATAAATACGGTGGGAAATTAAGCGTATGGTAAACGAGGGCTGAGCGAGTAAAAAACGAAGATCAGAATTGCGGAAAAAAATAGAAAAGAAAAACAGCGATTTGTTACATATTTATTCTAGCAGTTAGTGGAGCTAACATGGAATATGCAGCTGAAATTGATGATACATACTCGAAATGAACCTTTTAAAAGGACATTACATAAGCATACAATATCCGTACCTACAATATTCACAGATACATAAACTAATTATAAGCAGATGAAGAAGAGTCAAAAGGATATATTAACTCTTACAATATAATCCAAGTTGCAAGCAAAATGAAAGCAGATTGCTTAGGTGGATAGAAGCGAGAAAACTCTGCTGGTTATTAACTTGTTGTGTGCTTGTTCCGAGTGAGTATTATACCCTGCTTATCGGAACTTGAAAATCCTCCTTTGCTTGGAAAACCAAAAGCAGTGCGGTCTTACATGCAAGTACCTACATTAGGTAATGTACAACAGAATCGAGAAAAACAAAAAAGAGTCAGGCATAACATTACAGAGATATATCGGCGTAATGCAACAATCAGAGATTCCGAGAACGATTTTCAAGATGCATAGTAACAAGCAAAAGTCATTGCAGCAGTTTGAATTTCAGTCAACGTGTTGTTAATGACTAGCAATGATCCCAATCAGAGTAATCTTCCACCGTATACCATCTTACAATCTTTACAATGAGAGCAATATAAATTCTCGATACAGCACCACCAGATAAAGAAGAATAAAGAGTAACCATCAAATTCTAATCCGACCAAGTAAAATGTAAGAAATAACTTTAACAATAAGAAAATTGGGATTTCATTGAAATATGCAAAAGACAAATTTAACAATAACAAAATCGGGATCTCATTGAAAGTAAAACAGAATGAAGTAATCGAAGGACGACATACAGAGAATCTGATAACGAGCAACATCTTTGGAACTCTATATGTTGCAGTTTCCCGCACAGAATACTGGAGAAAGCTAATTAATGAGGAGTGTAAAATCATTGGTTACGTAATCGCAATGGTATAGATACTAAAAATATATGCCTTACAGGTAAATGGATTTGATTAACCAATCAAAATCACAAGAATCCAGGCGCACACACACACACAAAAGCACAACAAGCCTGGATAATAAAGATCAATAATGTTTTTGCATATTTCACTTAGAAAAATCTATGCAAACTCATGAAATGTCAATTCTCAACACATTAGCAATAAGGCATAAGCTATATGAAATGTCCATTCGTAACACGTATATCTCAAATACGATTTCAAAGAAAGATCGCATTACCTCAAAAACACACACCCGTTTCAGAACGAGTTCATTTCGAGACAGTAAGTCCTCCTCTTCACCAACATCCTCGAAGCGGTCCTAAACGGCTCTTCAAATGCCGATGCAACCCAATTCCCATCGGAACCAGTCGCCTCTTTCTTGGACTGCTCACTAGGCCTTATAGCAACCAACGTCGCCCCTTTCAAAACCATACCGTTTGGCAACTCCAAATGTGGCGCATACCACAACCTCATATTAAGAGCCGGAACAAGTGTCCTCTTCGATGCCAACGAGGCTGACAATGGCTTCACCCTCAGCTCCTCCAACTGCTCTTTGTTCATCGACAGCACCCCTTGTCCGTCGGCATCTGTCAATATCAAATTCTCCAATGTCTTGTGCTCGGCTATTATAGGCTGAAGCAGAAAATGCCTGGCTGAGGCTGCAATCAACGAGCTAATTGTCCACACAACACGCAATTTTAAGCCTCCGTTTGTGTAAAATGACTCTGGTATGCTGCCGTTATCATTCTCCACCACAGCGTTGTTAGTATTATTGTTATTATTATTATTACAATCGCGGCCATTGTTGATGTTCTGAACGACGCTCGAAGCTCCGAGAATAACGCAATTATCGAGGGTGGATCCGAAATCGGCCTTCCATTTGAGTAAAATACCATCGTCTATTCCTAACTCACCGCTCGGCAGTTCGATCCTGAGGAATTTGATTTCCTTGAAATTTTTCAATACCTGAGTAGGGGAATGGTGTGTGACGCTGCTTTGGTCGGAGTCGGAGTCGAAATCGGTCGAGTGCGAAGGGAGGCGGCGGGCGGAGGGAGTGATGAGCTGAGTGAGGGATTGCAAGGGTTTGAAGAGGCCGGAGAAGATGCGGAGGAGGGAGGAGATAGGGTGGCGGAACTTGTCGGAGGCGGCGGAGGAGGCAGAGGAGGCGGCGGATGGATCGTCGTCGGAGATGACGCAATCGACGCGGACGATGACGTCATCCACCTGGGGGACGAGGGAGTGGAATCTCCTCGAAACGACGCAGCATCGACCCAACGCTTTGACGTCACCGATTTTGTTGAAGATCAAAAGGATGACGGAATCAGGGAGATGGTCGAAGTGGTCGATCGGTTCAGGGTGGATTCTGCTTCCCAGATCTGCCCTAATTGAACCCATTTTTTGCTATAAAAAAATTAAAATTAAAAAAAAATAATTACAGATCCGATATAGAGATCCGCAGCTCTCCTTTCTTCGTTACCTTCTGTAAGTGAAGAAGAAGAAGAAGAATGGTGATGGAGGGAGAAAGTGTGGCGGAGAGAGGATACACGATTTGTGTGTGTGTGTGTGTGTGTGTGTTTCAGTGCGTTAGAGAGAGAGAGAGAGAGAGAGAGAGAGAAGAGATATGCAATGGGGGGATGGGAGTGGAGAAGGTAAAACGACAATGTGACGTGGCGTTTGGTCCATAGTTGCTCGTTTTTTAACCCCTTTCGGACAAGATTATTTATGTCAAATTGATTTTTTGCTGAATTTTGTTTATTGCCAAATTTCTTTTGGGAAATACCAAATTAATGGTCGTTCTCAATATCCATATGGGTATGGGTCGGGTTTTGCAATTCACATTTGGCTCTAAAATCCTCGAATTTTATAAGTAGGTATCCAAAAACATGTCATGTCAAATTATCACGGGTACTTGTCTGCAAAATCCTCGCATTTTTTGACAAGATTTCAAGCGGGGGCGATGTGACAGTGGTTCTGCAAAGAAGAGAAATGTGAGACGGCGGCAAATGACAGGTGGAGAAGAAAATTTGTCAACCGGTGGTGATGTGCGGCGACTGAAGAAGAGAATATGAAACATGTTTTTTTTTCTAAATGAATCGAGTAAGAACTAAGAAGTGTGAAGAGTGAAGAGTGAAGAGTGATGGAAGTGCGTTGTGGTTGTGGTGTTGGTGACGAGCATAGTTTAGATAATTATGATTTAGAGTTAATAATATTTAAATATTTAATTATTTATATGGGGGTGGGTATCCAATTCCAGTCTCATATTTTTTCAGGACAGATAATATTCGATTTTGAGTCGGGATGGGTCAAATTGTCATCTCTAATTCATAATATTGGGCTAGTAGTGTAGATTTTGGATCACAAGCCCAATTTGTGTGTGTGTGTGTGTGTGTGTGTGTGTGTGTAAGAGTTATTGTGCAATATAGTCCAACCAAAATTAATTTACAATAAACCCATAAATCACTTAAAAATATGGGGCAAGTTGAGAAATAAATGTAAAAGTTGGGGCTCGAATCATATAAAAATTAGTGTATGTCCTTAGCTCTAATTATGCAATCTTCCAAGTGACTCTCATCTTGTTTTCGGTACAAAAATATACAATAGAGGTAAACCTCTATAAATAAATACAATCGGCGTCAGGGAAATTCTATTAATTTAGAGAATTATTAAATTATCGAGTTAATAATTTAACACGTTTTCACCGAATCAGGAAGAAACTATTATTTAATCGAGGTTATTAATTTATCGAATATTAATTTATCGAGGTTCCACTGTAGTGTCAATACATTATTGCCGTCACTCATTCACTCTACATAATCAATTGCAATAAATAAAATTTATTTGATATTAAATTATTTTGTTATATATAAAATTGCATTCGTCAGGTTTACTTTATTTCTTGGTTCAACAGTAAGCAAAGTGGGATCATAAAGATGAAAGACTAACTAACAATTTTTTTAATGTAATAATGAGATTATTATTTTATTATTTTTCAATAAAAAAAAGTCAAATAAGAGAATAATACTGACAGCAAAAACAGGGCAGACAAGTCACAAGGTAGGAGAGATATTTCCATTAATTACTTAACAATTGTGTTATATTAATAAATAACTAATTAATAACTAATCCGATTTTGATTTTCCTAATAGTATCTATTCACGTGCACTGATTGCAAAAAGCCCAGCAGATTTCTCTTGGACAAAAGTGATCATGGAAATAATTAATTAAAATTATGAAACACATCATATGTGCTGTATTTTATTATATACTTTTATATTAAATTTTCGACACCAATTATGTAGCATAGAATCTTCAACTACTAAACGTTTCCACGTTTTGTATCCGATAATCGAGGACATCTGCTGGATACCTATAAGTTATTTTTGTAATTTCTAAAAAGTTCGAAATATGTTCGAATAACGAATTTTCAAATATTTTTGTTGTTTCACTTACCCTTGTTATTTACATGGTTTAATGATCAATTGCAAATTAATAGCTGATAATAATATTTATTTGAATATATTGCATGTATATATATAAAATAAATTTATATGTACATAAAATCTTTTATATGTTTATATAGTAGCATATTTATAAATATACCCCTATATTTTTAATATTTACACGTTTTCTGCAAAATTCTCAGTATCGCTATTTCAGTGTACGTGCTCTGTAGTGTACAATGTATTGTATATTGAAAGATATATTTAATAATAATAAGATCATGTCTAGTGCAAGTCATCAATTTTTACCATGTGAAAATGTGCAAACCCTAGATCTCATTTAATTTTGTTGTCAAAATATAGAATTCGTAGCATGTGTTCATGTCTTTTCTTTTTTATTTTTCCTTTGTTTATGTATTTATATAATTATTTTTCCATTCTTTAGAAATATCTACAAAAAATTGCAATCTTCTAAATAGGGATTGGAGAATATTATCCCGTACAATATATCCGTACATAAATATACAATCTACAAAGCACGAACACTACTAATTAAGTATGGTGTATAAGATGCTATACTCGGTGAGATACAGTGGAAGGTTTTACTATCGACTACTAAAACAAATAATATTCGAAAATATTACATCTGAAGTAAAAGAAATGTATGAATTTTGCATCTGGATTAATAAAAATGGAAAAGTAATGCACCCACCACCTTGCTTCAAAAACCTTAAGGCTCTGATTGGTTCATGGATTTCAAAAGAAGGAAAATGAAAATGTAAAGGAAAAGAAAATTAATGACTTTTAAAATCCCAGTTGTGTTTGGTTCCTAAGTAAAATGGTGATGAAAATGGCTTTGTGGAAAATTATTTTCCTTAATTTTGTTTGGTTTCTAGGAAAAAAAAGGTGAAAATAACAATGAATTATTAAATGGAGTAATTTTATTTTCTATCATAGATGTAAAATGTAAAAAAAAAACAAAAATACTGTTATGTTGAAAAAAAAAAGAAGAAAAAATGTTATGGTAAAAAAAGAAAAAAAATATGTGAATATGAATCTAATTTAATAATTTATTGTTATGATGTGTGTGAGAGAGAGAAGAGATAGAGAAAGGAGAGAGAGGAGAGAGAAGAGAAAGAGAGGGGAGAGAGAAAGGAGAGAGAGGAGAGAAGAGATAGAGAAGAGAGCAGCACGCTGAGAGAGAGAGGGGGAGAGAAGAAAAAAGGGAGAGAAAAAGAGGGGAGAGAAGAGAGAATAATAGAATGACATGACATTTTCCTCACTTTTTTTGAAGAAAATGCATTTTCCTAGTTTTAGTGTAATTTTTTTCCCACTTTTTCCTAGTAATTACGTTACCTAACACTTTACCTTGCAACCAAACATGAAAATCAATTTACCTAATAATTTCACCTTTTTACTCATCATTTTCCTTGAACCAATCAGAGCCTAAAAGTAACAAGATTTATGAAATCATATACATACTTTACACTTGTCGATTTTTTTTTTTGTTGGGTTATAAAAAATAAAAAGTTTGTATTGTCTCCATCAAAATAAATTCCATAATTTTAATTTGCCTGCTCTTTTTAGGTCATGGGTAATAAATAATTTGGTCCATATCACCATATAATATTACAATTAGTATACTACAATTTATATATAAGGGTAAATTACAAACATCCCCTTGAGGTATGGTCAAATTACAAAAACCCCCCTCTTGTTTGAATAATTACATCTACCCCCCTCAACTATGATTTTTTCTTAGACCTCCACCTTTATGGTGCCAAATTCAACATAGTCATCTAGAATCCGTGAAATGTGCTCTAGTTTGTACTCGTTTTGTGTAAAAATTACAGTTTTTGATGCACCACAAACTGATATATACAAGCTAAAAATCACATATTATGATCATCTTGCTTCATAATGTAGAGTTTGAATGGGATCAAACGGATACAAAAGTGA